TATTCCAACAGGTCCCATTGACTTATTTGTCTTTACTTTTGACAGTTGAAATAGAACCTCTTCTTCTGTAAACTCACATGTAACAAATGACTAATTTGTCCTTTTTCCTAACTGAGGTCCCTTTCCTTCATATTCATCTGTAAATACCGAACAAAAATATTAATTGAGTCAGTCAGCTAGACCTTTATCCTCTTCTATATACCCTCCTTCTTTTGTTTTTAATCTAACTAATCCTTGTTTTACTTTTCTTTTTTCATTTATGTATCTAAAAAAAGTTTTGTCCCCCTTTTTTACTGACTGTGCTATTTTCTCTTCTGTGTGTGATTTGGAAGATCTTCAGTTTGGTTCGGCACGTCCGAAATTTGGGACTTCAGCAATACAGCACTTCCAAAATTCGGGACTTCGGCACTGGGTAAGTGTAGGGTTAGGGTTAGGAGTAGGGTTAGGGTTGGGTTAGAAGTAGGATTATGGTTAAGAATAGGGTTTGGTTAGGAGCAGGGTTAGGGTTGGGTTAGGGTTGGGTTAGGGTTAAGAGTAGGGTTAGGGTTAGGAATAGGGTTAGGTTAGGGGTAGGGTTGGGTTATGGTTAAGAGTAGGGTTGGGTTAGGAGTAGGGTTAGGATTAGGAGTAGGGTTAGAGTTAGGGTAAGGTTAGGATTAAGGTTATGGTTAGGAGTAGGGTTAGGGGTAGAGGTACCCTAACCCTACCCCTACCCCTACTCCTAGCCCAAGTCAAACCAAACCTTAACCCTATTCCTAATCCAACCCTAACTCTACCCCTAACACTACTCCTAACCCTACCCCTAACTCTACCCACACCCCTATTCCTATCTCTACCCCTACCCGTTTTGCCACTTTTCAGAAGTCCAAGGCACTTCCGAAATGCGGCATTTCTGTTCATTTTGGAACTTCCAAAATTCGGCACTTCAGAAGCATCCCGAATGTCTGAAATTCATCCGAATTTCCATTCGGACTGAACCGAATTGCAAATGTCTACTCAATCGGATTGAGATCTGAGGAATTTGGAGGCCAGGCAACAGCTAGAACTCTTTGTCATGTTCCTCAAACCATTCCTGAACAGTTTTAGCAGTGTGGCAGGGTGCATTATCCTGCTGAAAGAGGCCACTGCCATCATGGAACATCATTGCCATGAAGGGGTGTACGTGGTCTGCAACAATCTCTAGGTAGGTGGTGCTAGTCAAAGAAACATCCACTAGAATGCCAAGACCCTACCCGATCCTCCACCAAATCTCACAGTGGGTGCGAGACAACCTCTCCAGGTTCCTGTCTAACCATAAGATGACCAGGTGTGGGCCAAAGGTAAAATCGAGCTTACCAGAGAAGATGACCTTACTCCAGTCCTCTATGGTCCAATCCGCATAGTGTTTTGCAAACCTCAGCCTGCATTGGCTTTTTCAGTCTTTTTTTCGAGCTTTGTGTGACTTCACCCCTACCCCTTGAAGCCTGTTTCAGGCTGTCCTCACCATGTACTTTACCCCAGTTGCCATTTGTCATTCTTTTTGTTGGTTATTTGATGTCATTCTACAGTTGTTGAATGATATTCAAATAAGTTGGTGGTTTTCCAGGTCAGTGGAGAGTCGTTTTCACCCTCTGCCAGTCCATAGCTTTTTTTTATCCTCAATGTTGGCTGCTTGACTTTGTTTTTATGAACCGCCGTCATTGACATTTTAATGATGCAAGCAACCTGTATTCCTCTGCCAGTAAAGTCAGAATCAAGCCATTATTTTTCTCCCTCAAATTTTTTCTTTTCAACTCTTTTGACATGGTCAATAGTTCTTTTTATTCCAATTATTTTTAGGAAGTACAAGCATGATGTTTGCCATCCAGTTGGTCCTGTTGCAAGAAGATAGTGCTGACCACTGCAGTTGTTTTTATATTTTTCCTCATTTATTAAGATTTGGTTTAGGTGATCACCTCAGTACCTCTTTAAATAGAACGAGGTGTGCCTGTGTTGGAATTCAACAGGCAATGGAATGCAATGGCTGCCATATATGTAGAGATATGTATTTAGAAGATATCTATTTTTTTATCCCAGAGCTGTATGTGCATAGTTTTAAATAAGGTAATTTTTTTTATCTAACATGACAATCTACATAGGGTCATTCATATCTATACATATCTTCATATGATCATTCATCTACAGTATATGTGCCTATTTAGTTTTTACAAATGGCTGACCCTATCTTTATGTGCCTATCAACACAGAGCCAATCATATTTATTTGTGCACAGCATCTACACAAGGCTATTAATATCTTTATATGTATAGTGTCCACATGGGGCCAATCATATCTGTATGTGCTTATTTAGACAGAGCCAGTTATATCTGTATGAGCTTATTTAGACAGGGCCAGTTATATCTATATGAGCTTATTTATAAAGGGCCAGTTATATCTATATGAGCTTATTTATAAAGGGCCAGTTATATCTATATGTGCTTATTTATAAAGGGCCAGTTATATCTATATGTGCTTATTTAGACAGGGCCAGTTATATAGTTATAATTAAATGTGCTTATTAATAAAGGGCCAGTTATTTATATATAAGTTTATTTATGAAGGGCCAGTTATATCTCTATGAGCTTGTTTACACATGATATCTCTCTGTGCTAATCTACTTAATTTCACAGTTCCTCATTCAGCCATTTATGTCGGCAAGTAGTGCCTCATATAATAAACCATTATTAGTCAACGAACATGTATCTGTAGTTCCATTTTGCTTATTGCAGTTGTATAATTATATCCTGCTGAGAGCTGACTATTGCAGCCTGGTGCACCTTTACACACACACACTGACTGACTAACTGACAAACCCCAGCGCCTGCCCGAGTTTCCCGCCTCCCACTTATGATAGACAGCCCAAGTGTCCAATCGTAGCACGCCTTAGAATAACAGCCAGCCAATAGGAGGGCTGAACTGAGTAACTGCTGTGCTCTGAGTCTGAGGGAACGCAAAGTGGACAGTAAAGTGTTGTATGGACTGTGTCTGAGTCCCGGGGCCCCTTTAATGCACCAGCAGGTGAGTACTAGCCATGGATCACGATGGCTGGATGACGTGTAACAGCTGTATAGCTATATTACTATCTGGAGTGCCCCCCCCCCCCCTTAAGATATGGTTGTACCCCTATCCTCTCTTGTCTGTGGCTGGGAGACTCTTCCTCTATGTGTCTGGAAGATACCATTACAGCAGGAGGGGGGTGGGGGATGAGGGGGATTGCTGCAGTACTGCACTCCCCCTTACAGTGCATGGCAGCAGGCAGCATGGAGCTGTGCTCTCATTGATTTACATACTGTGTACTGTGTTGGGATTGTAATGTGCAATGCACAGAGTATGAAAACTCATTAATATTAGCATATAACCTGCCCTGCTGACCCAGCATTGTAAGAGTTGTAGTACTAGAGGTGCTCATTATTACTGAACAGACACCTCTAGTACTTGCAGGACTTGATGGACACCATAGATGTCTATTGCAGGTCATGCTGGGTGATGCATGTTCCTATCAGAGGTCAAATGTCAAGATGTAGCGGCTAAAGCCACATTTTGCCAAAACGTATGTTGTGCATGAGACCAAGTTGTCCCTATCGTTTAAAGCGTCATCGACAGTACGGCGCAAGGGAAAAAGAGGCACGTCATCCCTACTGGCGTGCTCGCATATGGGTTTAAATTACTTCAGAAACAGGTTAAAAGTACAGTGTGAGCATGGATAATATTTTGCTCCTGCTACAATTTCCCTCAGTTCCTCTGACACGAGCTGGCCTGTCAGGTGATCAGGAGGACTGGAGCAAAATTGTGTGTCAGACCGCGCCATTGTATTTATTTATTTTACCAGGAAGGATACATTGAGATTTCTCTTGTTTTCAAGTATCCTGGGCATACAAAAATACGTTATCAATAAACTATCAAAAAATATATGACTGCTCCACTTTTATATAGTTCCTTACTACAGATTATGACGTTTACATTTTCTAGAACCGTACGTTTCACATTTCACATGCTGCCCAACAGTAGGTAGTATTTGATTTGGAATCCCGTACTGCATGGATGGTTATAGTAACATTGCCGAACAGCACATGCTGCCATTTTAATGGCGGCAGGTGAAATAGCTGCCATCCTGGACTATAACTGCTACTATTCCTTTTAGTGTTGCCCTTACAGTAAAAACCCTTAACCACTACCCTAACATAATAGACTGTCACTAATCTCTAACCCCTACATTACACATTAATCTGTACACTAACCATTAATACAACTCCTACACTACCGTAGCACTTACACATAATGTAATATTAAAGGACCACTATAGTGCCAGGAAAATATACTCGTTTTCCTGGCACTATAGTGCCCTGAGGGTGCCCCCACCCTCAGGGTCCCCCTCCCGCCAGGCTGGATGGAGAGGAAGGGGTTAAACTTACCTCTTTCTCCAGCGCTGGGCGGGGAGCTCTCTGCCTCCTCCTCTTCGGCTGCATGCACATGCACGGCAGGAGCTGCGCGCGCATTCAGCCAGTCCATAGGAAAGCATTCTCAATGCTTTCCTATGGACGCTGGCGTCTTCTCACTGTGAAAATCACAGTGAGAAGCGCTGAAGCCCTCTAGCGGCTGTCAATGAGACAGCCACTAGAGGCTGGATTAACCCATTTATAAACATAGCAGTTTCTCTGTAACTGCTATGTTTATAGAAAAAAAGGTTAAACCTAGCTGGACCTGGCGCTTCTCACTGTGATTTTCACAGTGAGAAGAGCCAGCGTCCATTGGAAAGAATGGAGAATGCTTTCCTATGGACCCTGGCGCTTCTCACTGTGAAAATCACAGTGAGAAGCGCGGAAGCCCTCTAGCGGCTGTCAATGAGACAGCCACTAGAGGCTGGATTAACCCATTTATAAAC